CCGAAATCCAAAACACCAAAATGCACAAAAATATTCACAGTGGAGAAAAATTATATACAAATATGTACAAAAATAAAGAATGAAAAAAAAGAGTATTTCCATGGTCAGTGGAACTCTCTCTGTCCTCTGCTAGCTGCTCTGTAACCTGACCGCTCTCTCCATAACCTGACATCTCTCTCCCTCTAAGCCTGAAGGGCTCCCCTTATATCTTTAGGCCCCTCCCACTGGACACTTTAGCAAAAATCCAAACAAAATACCTTTAGAGGCACTCACACAGGGTATATTCTGCTAACCAAAATAAACGATATATTAAATCAAAGTATATCAGGTTTGATCGTTGGTTCAGGATTAAAACTCTCAACGTGATGAGCTGATCACCTGATCAATCTAGTGGCGCCAACACTGCCCATTTAAACCGGGGGGAACGATTAGATCTGCTTGGCCATGGAAGGAAACCCCACACAACAGGTAACCCAATGCTGAAATGTAATATGTTTGTATATGCAAACATCCCCAAGTGTGCACCCATGGGGATTGTAACCAGCGGGAAAACGGGGCAAAGGAAATTAAACAACGTGTACCAAAATGAATAGCGCGGGAGGGAAACGGGAAATATGAAAGTGAATGCTACGTGTATGTATGTATGGGTCCGTGACTTTAAATAATGGCCGAGAATAATTTAATACATGTATGTGCGTGTACATGGATGTGTGAGTGAATGCGCGACTTGTGATAAGTGACGGACCCAGAGAGAGGTTTTAGTCTGTCAGAGCCCAACTGAGACACTTAACTGTGTCCAATAAATGTCATTTTTATACTCTTGATCCAGTCTGGTTTATTCTCAGGCTTCCAGCTAAAGAATCGGGCTAACAGAGGTTTCTTACGGGTTTCCGGTCGGCTCACCTGCTGATGGACATGGCCACGATAACCGGTTTCCAGCCGGACTGCAGCAGCTCTCTGATTGGAGGAGAGCGTTTGGCGATGGAGACCCAGACGGGGATGAGGAGCAGGAAGAAGACGCACGCCCCAAAGGGGAGGAGCCAAAAGTCTGCAGGGGAAAAGCTCAGTTATTTTATCCCAGCGTCACCAGTTTGAAGCCCAGTGGAGAAACTCCAACTGGACTGGGAATCATGAAGCGCATTGTCAAGTGGTTCTTGCTTTTTTTTGCTTGGGATTTCCCCCACTCGAAAGGGAAGCCACAGGATTTTACTCAGGCGTAAAACTTGATTCTTTCATTTCCATTTTTTATTTAAAG